CTTCGGCTTCTCCTTCGACTTCTCCTCCGACTTCTCCGCCGACTTCTCCTCCGACTTCTCCTCCGGCTTCTCGGAGCCCGTGGACGGGCAGTGGCATGCCGCGGCGTTCTCCTCCGTCGCCTTGCTGATGCCCGAGTGCTCTGAGATCTGCTTATCGCGGAAATGCCGCAGCCTCTTCTTGGCCTCCTCAATCTGCTCCTGACGCGGCCCCCAGACGTCGTCATCGTCGTCGGTGCCGTCGTCGTCGACAGCTTCACCTTCGTCGTCGTCCTTGACCTCCTGCTCACGATCTCGTCGTCGTCCTCCTTCTCCTCCTCCTCCTCACCTCGTCCTCGCCCATTGACCTCCTCCCTCCTGCTCCCTCCTCACTATTCCTCCTCATCCTTTGTTTCCTTCTCCTCCTCCTCATCTTCATCTTCCTCATTCTCCTTTGTGGTGGCAGAAGGAAGGAGGATGAGGACGAGAAGAAGTGAGGGAGAAAAGCGAAGGAGGAAGGTGGATGACGAGGGTAATAGCGAGTAAAAAGATCTGCCCGTCCTTCTATCCTCCCTCCCCCTCCCCATCCTCCCCATCCTCCCCACTGCCCGTACTGCCTCTCCGTCCCCCTCCCCCTCCGCGTCTTCCGCCCCTCTCCATCCCCTCCCTCCCTCCCTGCCATCCGACCTCGCCGGTCTCCCACGTCCCCGATAGAGGAGAACCATGAGGAGAAGGCGAAGAAGCTCCTCCTCCCTCCCTCCCAAGCCCTCCTCCCTCCTCCCTGATCATCAGCCGCGTGCTTGCCGACGCCGACGCGCCACCAGGTTCGGAGCGTTCGCGAGTTCGCGGGCCAACCTGGGGACGGCCAGGCCCCAAATAGCCTGGTGCCGAGTGAAGAAATGTGGTGGGCTCCCGAGTCTGTGCGCGGAGCAGTCCACCAAAACTATCGCCGCTCTGGTTGGCCGCGTGGGTGCTAGCCGCGGGGGGAAGGCGAGAGCCACATGTTGGAAAGGAATCGCTCTCCGTCTGGAAAATGTTGAGAACTTTTACGACGAACCTCCAGTTTTGAAGCTGTAGCAAACTTTAGAGCGAATATGCGCGGCGCGAGGACGAGAGCCACATGTTCAAAACCTCCCGCCCTGCATTATCGCCGCAGAGAGCGTCGGGTCAGGTGGTGGCAGCTCGCCGCAACCTCGGCCGCAGCTCGGCGCCCGAGCCCAGGGGCCGCCGCAACAAACGGCGGGCGCACGCTCCGTCGCGGTTGCGGCAGCCACAGCCCTGGGAGTAGCGCACCCTGGGACAAACGACCACGGACTGGAAGCCGGCATCTACGAGAAGATGCTCGACTACCTACCAGACCACCCCCCAACCCAACCCGAAGACCCGAATTTCGGGTTGAGGGGGTACGGGCTTCATATGTGGTTGTTTCAATGTTCCCCGACCCCCCCCAACTGGAAATGGAGGGCAAATTGAGGCCTTCGGGTTGGGTTGGGGTGGGGTGGTGGGTGGTGAATGATGGAGCCCAGCGCCATCAACTAAAACCTTGGGATCAACGACCGAGAACGGGCGCAGACGTGGGAAGAAGGTGGTGCCCACACGTTTTCAGATGCAGACCTGCGGTCAGCGACGCCTGTGCATGGAAGCCCGTGTGCCCATGTGCGAAGAGCTGGAACCGAGCGCTCTCAGTTACAGCACTGGGATGAAAGCGTGTAGGACAAGCTGTAGAAGGGAGCAGAACACCCAATCCACCCCCGCAATCAGCACCAAAACAAACGAAGCAGTCTGGTAAACGCACCCCGGGCAGGAATCGAACAGGGCAGGGCCGTTCAGTGAACGCCAATTCTCGGGGTCGGGGCGGATTCTTCCTCGCCTGATGTAGAAGACGTCTGCAGCTGCATCTAGTGCATCAGCGCTTCCATCGGCGGCCCGCAGCGCAAGGGTGAGGTCGGGCCTGTCCCCCATACAGGCGGATTTTGGACGAAAAACAAAAAGATACTCAAACAATATACCCAAACATGCCCAAACACTGTCAAAAAATCGTCCCAAGACTAGTTTTCGTGACCTTTCTTGAATAGTCCTCCTGTAGAGGGACAGGCCCTCAGGCCCGACTTAACGCAGGGGGGAGAGCAGTGGCCCCTCGCAGATGCAGTGCGGGGCCAGCTAGCGCACCCGAGAGGGCTGGCCGAGACGGCATCAGCAGTGCGGGAATGGCTGAGACCTCAGCCATCGGTCACACGTCGGCCGCCCGCCACGTGCGGCCCCGGCCAACCACGGCCCCGCGCGAAGAGTGCCGAGTCCTGCCGAGCCCGTCTGGTCGTCCTCGTCATCCTCCTGGCCTCCTCCCTTCCCGCTCCTGCCGTGACGAGGACGGGCTCGGGAAGAAGGGCGTGGCATGAAGGCGAGGAGGAGGGAGGGGGAGGAGGCCGAGGACGGCGAAGGAGGACCCCATCCCTGCCCCTCCCTCGCCCACTTCTGCTCCGCCCCACTGCCCACCCCTCTCCCCTCACTGCTCGCCTGCCTGCCCCTGATCCTCACCGGCCTCCTCCTCCCGTTGAGGGGGAGGCGCATTGAGAGAAGGAGGCATCCAGCCTCCAGAGATCAAGGAGAAGGAACACAGGGGAGGATACCGAGGGAGGAGAACGACGATGACGGGGAGGAGAGGAAGGACGAGGCCCGGGGGCAGAGTAAGACGAGGAGGAGAACGACGACGACGACGAGCAGAATGACAGCGACGAGGACGAAGAGACTCTCGGGGAGGAGGGAGGAGGAGGTAGGAGAAGAGGGGAGCGCCCACTCCCTCCTCCCCCGGTGGCGCGAGACCCCCGAAGTCTTGATGTTATTCGCGACGTGGGCCCTGGACTACTACTGGGCGGGATGGATGGTTGCTCGTCGTGGACCGTTTCTCTCCACTCAGGCTTTGCATAGGGGACGTTCTAACTCATTTTGCGCAAGACGGCGTGTGGCGACATGTGGTGACTGTGGTCCATCCCGCGGGTTCCCCCGGGATCCCCGGGGTTCCTGGGCGTTCTCTGGAGATTCGCTGTGCTTTACCATGCCATGATATTCAACATGTTTCCATACTGTGCAGTGCCACGGGATGTAAAACTAACTATGCAGTGGCACACTTTATTTAGCAAAGCCATGCTACATGCTACCGAGCGTTGGAAGGAAGGACGACCTCCTCCGTCTCCTTGTCTTCCTCCTCCTCCTCCTCCTCCTCCTC